GTGTGTGTGGGGGGCGGGGGGGCTGCGTGTGTGTGTGGTGGGGGAGCGCGTGCGTGTGTGTCTACGCACATATATGTGTGTGGTGGGGGGGGGTGCATCTGTGTGTGCGTGTGTCTACACACGTATGTGGTATATACATTTATATGTGTTTGTCATTCTCAACAATGTGTCTATCCAAGTGGCTAGCCAACTCAATTTCCCATCTGTAGGAAGACCACTCCCCGGTTTGCCCCTCTTGCATCATTCCTGCCCTATGCCCTCTGACATCTTCGTCTTTTTTTGTCATCTTTATGGGCTGCAATCTTCCTCGTTAACCCTGTCTTCATGTGGGGCGCTGAGTTTGCTGTCATGTGCCCCACAGGGTCCTCCTCAAGCAAGGTGTCATTTTGTAGCATGGCCCCTTCTTTTTGTTTTGTTCCCTATTTGCGTGAATCCAATCTAATCATGCTGTCGTTAGTGACGGATTGGATGTGAGTTTGTAGACAGGTTGACCCACTGCATCATTTCCTGGCAGTTATTTATAACTCTTGTACTCGTGTAGACTACCATCTTATGTAGACTACCCTCATTTCCATCGTTTTTGGGAAGTGCATACACTGCATAGGTTGTTCTTGACACGTGAAGTTGTTGTGACAATGATTGGTTGTTTCTTTTCTTATGATTGAAGTCGACAGCTCTGTCGTTATGAACTCTGAAGTATAGTTGTTTCCGTAAATATATCTGCAAGTTGAGCTTGGAAAGATGGTCTCCGCTCAGTCCTCTGGGATGGTAGAACGTACTGCATCGTCTTCGAGAAGTAAAACAGCGTAGTCCATAGTCTTTGAGAAGTGAAAAATGCGTAGTCCATAGTCTTTGAGAAGTGAAACATCATCATTTTGAACTCAACAATGTGTTTTTTTTTTTTGTTTTTTTTTTGGTAAGGCAGCTGGCAATACATTAAAAGGAACTTGACATTTTTGTTGTTAAGAACTCGTTTCCGTAAATCTGGGTAGCACGGCGTACGTGTATGCAGGTTGCGCTTACACGCGCACAGCGCCGTACACGGATTCCTGTACGCAACACGACTCCCATACGTGGGAATACGTACCAAAAAAGTTCTCCGCATGACGGAAATGCCCTTGACGGATGATAGCTGTTGAAGTTTGGAGATCCAATTGAGCTACAAGCACATTCATTCGTCCCTTTCATCTAGGGGTATAGGACATTGCTTTTTCATGGCGAAAAAGACACGGGTTCAAATCCCGTAATGGACACATATATGATATGATATCTATCATATCAAAGGCCCAGGTCAGGCGGCCATCCTCCTTTCAACCAAAGCTCTGTATGTTTCTTGTTGGCATCCAGTAGACCCACCTGCACACTCAAAAAACGCTCACAATCTTCTGCGGGAAGACATTTAAGAGTCTAGTCTAGTGCCAAGTTAGTACCTTGTCTTACAATGACCACTGATTTCGGCCAGCTCACAATAGCCTCTGAAACTTTGGAAGTTTGGAATATATATCGAGGCATTTTTTGAGAGCAGTTAGTGCGGATTGAGAATTGAAGGAGAGAGCAAACAAGTCATCGACCATGGCTGAGGCTTTGCATTGCCTACCTTGCCCAAGTTGGATGTCTAGGTTGCATCTGACTGATCATGGATAAAAGCACCTCCATGTGAAGGATAAACAACATAGGTAGGAGTCAGGGGACACCCTGCCTCAGGGACCTAGGGAGAGGGAAGATCTCAGAGATCTCCCCATTTATCATTACCCTCCCTAGGCCCTTGATGTATAACGCTTGTACCCATCTGCAGAAAAAAGTTTTTATTTTAATACTAATAAATAAAAGAAATAAAACCCTCATTTTATTGAAACTTATCCCCAAAGCCCTCTAAGCGTAGCGTGTCTAAAACAAAATCCCAATTTACCCGATCATACGCTTTCTCCAGATCTAGCAACAGGGCAACCGCTTCCGGTTGGTCATCCTTCAGTATCTCTAGTGCTTCTATCGTCAACATGATGTTATTCAGGATATTTCTTCCTTGAACAAAAAAAAACAGCTTGTTCCTCGCCTATCAAAAAAGATGGAAGATATCTTTTCAGTCTGTTGGCCAATGTTTTTGCCAGTAAATTTATAGGATGTGTTCAATAGGGAGATAGGCCTCCAATTTCTTATATTCCTTTTATCTCCATTTAGTACAGTAAGGAAATAGTGTCCGAGACTCGGCACAAAATTTTGTACCAAACTCCAAGTAAAAAATCGGAAACACAAAAAAAGTTAAGAAACAAATAAAATTGAAAAAAAAAAAAAACCAAGGAAGAAGTGGAAAAAATGAAAACAAAATTTTTAATTTTGTAACAAATAAATAATATGTTATGCAGAATCATGATACGAACAACTCACCCTCTCAACCTCACATCTCAAAATGCTGTAAAGAGCCTTTGTTGCCTAGACGGGTTTCCCACCACGCACCCAATGGATACAACTCTAG